TTGCATGACACTTTGTCAGTGGGCAAAATACAAAGTTAACGTTGATTAAGCTGAAGTAAATATTCCTTTTGCTTTAGTTCAGCATCTTGTTTGTGGTATATTTTGTGTAACTACTGTAAATGCATGAGATTCTATTATGCTCATGAGATTCTCTGTATTAAATAAATCACTGAACTAATTTAAATAATAATTATAATAATTAACACACTACCTGGTCTAATGGTAAGCTCATCACTCATGTTGGCTTGGTATTCATAGATAGCCTGACACGTGCATAACACTGTGGCATTGGTATTGTAATCATCAAATTCATCATCATCTACAACAAAAATATTCTGTTACAAACAACTGTCATTGGCAAAAATGAAGTATCAACAAAAATAGCAAATACAAAAATTAATTTTTCACTATCATCTCCAGTGCATGAACAGCAAAGAAATTAACTAATATTGTAGCCAGAATAAATATTAAATATTTGACATGTACAAAGATATTCAAAAACATGTCAACCTGTTTGGAAACATGATACCTAAATAAAGATATGGTGTTTCTTGTTTTGAGCATATCTGCAAGAGCATAAAGCAAATCCATACTGTCTTGCTTTGTGACTCCATCTAGGAATAAATCCCCAAAGTCACATTATTCACGAACAACAAACAGTTTTAAAAAACAACATGTTAAACTCACCAAAGTCTCCATAGGAATGTCTGTCATCATGGCCCCCGTCTGCAGACCCCCTGCCGTGACCCTGTAAGGAGAGGTCAAGGTCAGGTGCTCCCTCCATTGCTATCGAGGCTGGCAGCCGCAACACACTGCAGTTCTGACCCTAGAGATTAACAAATGTACAAATTTACAAAGAATCAGGTGGATTCATCTGTACGGTAGCTGGTTTCATAGAGCCACTGTAAGATAACAGTTGTCACTGCAATGTTGTTCTCTAGTAAGTTACAACCTAAAAAATTGAATTACTGACCAGTCCAAGTAATCAGATATATCTGACTAGCTAAAACAGGCTTTGTGAATCCAGAAATTGGTGTGTGTGTGTGTGTGTGTGTGTGTGTGTGTGTGTGTGTGTGTGTGTGTGTGTGTGTGTGTGTGTGTGTGTGTGTGTGTGTGTGTGTGTGTGTGTTCCATCTTTTCTTTGTGCTCAGTTCTAACATATATATGCAAATTAGAACAAATGATGTGAGAAAAAAGCTCAGTTCTGACTTCTCGAATGTTTCTTTTCCCACAATAATCTATGCCAATATACTTATGCATATACATGCTCTCAAACATTCTGGGATAAAATACTCAACTTGGGTTTGCATTTTTGAATTATACAAAAGAGAAGACAACATATTTGTTTTATGCAAATACCGCTGGCAAAGAAAATTCACAAGAACTCGAGATATACGTGACATCACTATCTTAACGTAAAAAAAGAAAAAAAATCATACACACTATAAAAGAAATTCAGTGAAAACAGAAAGCATATTTCACAAAATATTGCCATCTACAGATATTCTACCATGTGTCTCTCTCTCTCTCTTTTTTTTTTTTTTGTACATTTTAAGCAGGTCTGTGAAAGATGCTCTCAACAGAACAACAATAATTATTTCAATAACATTATAACACTCAAGTTGAAATCACAGTTTCACTTGAATAAACCTGAGAATGTGACAACATAAAAGTTAATATAATTTGCAGAGGTTATTTTACTCGCCATTAAATTTAGTAGTATGAGCCATCCACTGGGTAAAAGCATGAGTTATCAATGTTCCCTCGAAATACATTACATGTATATACACGTACAAGTATATTCATGATAGTAAAGACCAAATGAACATGAAAGCTGATATAATATTAATCAGTTTCTTTCTTTTGTTCTTCTTCATATTCCCCTTCTTATTTATTTATTATTATTATTAATTAATTAATTAAATTTTTTTTGGGAGGAGGGGGGTCACTAGGGGGTGGTGGAAGGAGGGTTCTATTTTTTTACTTACACCCCATTTCTATAGATTAGATCGACCTAACTCCCTGGGGGCTCACGCTAAATAGCTGTCAGCCGGGCGGACACGAAAGTTAATTACCTCTTACAGCTTGTAGTAGGCGGGGACGGACACTTAAGGGGGATTATCTGACAGTAATCTAGTGAGACTCCCCGCGGTGATAGATCGATCTAAAGTTGTGGGAATAGACCCTTAGGCATTTCAAGGAAATAATTTAAAAAAATATAACACACTAGTGTGAGAGGGAAAAGAAAAGCTTTGGTGGGAGCATACTACTAAAAACCAAGGTAATATGTAATATTCACTGCAACCTACAACTGACTTAAATAAAGAAAAAAAAATGTTAGAAATAATTTTTAGCAATCAATGAAAAATAAAATGATCTCAGGGCCTTTGTTAACACTTACAAGTGGTCTTTTTCTCAAGGTAAGCTTTTTTGACTTCAGGAAAATGAAACCATGACAAATATTTAATAGTGAGAAAAAATCTAGTGAAGTATTTCAAATGGGTAAAAATAAAACACCTGTCATTTGCTTATATTCAGACAAATAAAATAAATAACTTGTTAGCGATGATAAGCATAATGTATGTGGTTGGTCTCCATTTAGTTGGAACAAGTAAATTAGCTTTGTGAAAAAAAAAAATAGAAAATGCTCATATTAAAAGAAGCCTGCCAACATGCAACACATTCTCTACATCACTTTTATTTTTGTTATGGATTTTTCAATGCTCAAAATGACAATTAGCAAACTTCTTTACATTACTGACAGCTTTCATTCCAAAAACTATAATTTGATAAAATGGTTGCTATGTATATAAGTACATTGTACAAGTCTAGCCCAATACACAAGCAGCAACAAGCAGCATAAACATCCTGACCAGGCTATAAATACATAATATATATAACTAACACCCAAATCACCAACATAAACCATAGACTCACATACATGTAATTTGTGACCATGGCCATGGCCATTCTGAAAGAAACAGGATTTAAATCATAGACAGAACATATGACAAGTGCAACCTGCATTCAGTATTTTAACACTTCTTAAAAGATATAACCAAATCTTTTTTAAATATTTGGGGTCTTATTATGTGCCCATTATCAGAAAGGCAACTTAGCCCTACCTGGACCCAGATTCATGCCAGGTCCAAAAGATTGTGACACATATTTTGTATGTGGTATCCCCCCCCTCCCAGCATCAGATGTAACCGAGAACAATAGGGACATGCTGATAAGACAGAGGAGTTTCTAGTGACCCATAAAACCAAGGGTTTGTATGCCAATCTCATGCAGGCATTTTAGTACCAAAAGTCATATTAAAAAATAAAAGTCAACACATGCCATGAGGCGCGTGCCATAAAGCACATACTTGATATGCAACAAACCACACAGCTCCTGCAAAAAGTCATGTGACCATGAGAGTTCACATGACAAACTTATAGTATATAATATTGCACACAACTGTTAAACTATTCATAAATGCAAGATTCATGCAGCAAGTCTGGAGGCTGGCAATGCATATATGTCTATGTACGGATATGTATGAGCAAAAGAGACCAGGGATCACAGGGTCCACAAGAAAAATCTCCCATGTCTTAACAAATAAGGCATCTATAGCCAAAACAGAGAAGCTGGAAGAAAAAACGAGGTCTACATGTGACATCATGCCAATTACGGCCCATGCTAACAACTCTAAGTGCTCCTACCAGGGTGTCCGAGAGAAGTTTGCGGAGAAAATGAGGAAACATGTGACGGCCATGTGGCGCCATCTGCACCTCCTGCAGAGACTAAGACGTGACAATAGAAAATGGTCATCAATTTTTGAGGAAGAGACAAGATATACTGGCACAGGATATAACCCACAAGGTTTTGTAATTTTCACACAACTAGGTGCAAGTTATATCATATAATATCACGTACTGAGACGTAATGTTTGCACTTGTGAGTTCTTTGCTTAAAACAGTTTAGTTCAAAAAATGTCAGCAGATGTCACCACTAAGCATGAGAATAGATGTCAGAACTTAAATTCAAAGCATAGCTGTCTGTTTGAGGATTCAGAGATCTCTATGTAGTTTTGTGTATTTTAAGATCAATTTGGCTAGTTGGTGACAGGTGATTAAAAACATGTGTCTCTAATTTAGAACCAAATTTTTTCTTAACTTGTTTGAACAAACAGATAACATCTCAGTCAAGCTCAGGTGCGAAACACTAATCAGCATAATTTAAGGATTGGTTATATCAAAATACTCACTTATCTGTTACCAGTGTAGACCAAACCTGTGTCCCTTTCTAATTTTTAAAAAAATAATTGTCTACCTCTTTGGTAGATTTATTTCAAGATTCTTTAAGTCATAATCCTACATTTTTCCTTTGTTTTGGCTGGTTCAATATACTAATTAAAAGTATGATCTGGCTAAGGTTTTCAACTTAGCAGGATAAAGACATTCTGTTGGGCATAACTATACATATTAAATATCTACTTGTAAGTGTCCTTACCTGTTTGTCTTTGACTTGTTCAATGTATGGAGCAAACCTGTGGTCAGGCTTTGGTTTCCCATTGAGCTGTGCTAAGGCACAGGACACCTTGTAATAACTGGCCTCCAGGAAGTTCAGGGTAGCACTCACCTGGAAATTTAACAAGTTCCATGTACTTATCAAAGTTACAGAAGTGTTTAACTCATTCCTGTTATTCTCTGCAGGATATACTATAATTCGATTAAAATTCATGATGCATCCAATTATAATTTGTTTAAAAGATAAAAAAAAGAAATAAAAAATATTATAAATTTAAACTGTGAGTCTGACCGAAGGCATGTTTCCAGTTAAAATAGGCTGACCTAAGATTGTACAGCATATATAGTGTTTAAGTGTAATTTTGGAATTTAATTTAATTTATTAAATGGTGAAATTCAATTAAAAAGACTTCTTATTGTAATTTACATTTTCATGAAATTTGTTAAAACATTCTACATTCCAAAATGTGTCATCTGAAACACTCTTTGTTCTTACGTTCTTTAATTTTCTTTTAGCATCATCAAGTGCTCCCTGATCGGCAAAGTTGGGCGTATTTTTGTACACATCTAATAACTTCTCTACCCCTGAAATACGTGAAGTATATGCTATATCAATTTTAGGAACATCACTACATATGAAACAATATATAAATAATATTAACAGTTTAAGTTCAAATAAATCAAATATTGGTATAACATTATAATTCATCTGTTATAATCAATCAAAATGTATGAATATTGTAAAAATACTATAAAGTCGTCTTTGAGCAAGATGTCACTATATAATTTTGCAAATATGAAAAGCTAAAACCACTTATAAAGCATCAACATCTATTCAAAATTTACCTTCTCTTCCTTTTTTCTCTCGTTCTACATCTTGTTGTAAATATAATAAGTAGTTGGTTAAAGCCTTCCGTCTTCTCTCTGGGTTCATAGTATTGTTAAAATCTTCTGCCTGTTCATGGGCAAATGAAACAAAATTACAAATTAAAAGCAGGTGGTGACCAACAACAAATGTATCGACATCTTTCTTCCTCACTACATTCTACTTACATGCTCCCCCCTCTCTTTTGCCCTTCTCTTTCTCTCTCTCTTTTCTTTGCCCCTCCCTACTCTCCCTACTTATCTCTCTCCCCCTATTATTCCTCTCTCTCTCTCTCTCTCTCTCTCTCTCTCTCTCTCTCTCTCTCTCTGTACTCACATAGCTTTCAAATAACAGCTGTTCAGGCTGGTGTGGTCCTGTCCCCTTCTGGTCAACCACTTTGGCCAGGTCTCTCTGGACATCCACCACCATCACAGCTTCACGGAGACGATCACAAATCTGGAAAAATAAAGGAGACATATGTGGGGCAATGAGTGACAAATAAATAAATAAATTCAATAACATAAATTAATCAAATAAATGAAACTAATAAAAATAATAATTGTGAAAAATAAAATCAAACAGCACAGAGACTCACAAGGAATTACTCCCATTGGCTTTTTATTTCAAAACAAGTTTAGTTCATAATATGTAGAACAATCACTTTCAGCTTTGATCCTAGATATATCTGTAGCAGTTAAAAAAATTGCTGTTTCCCACTAATAGTTAAGTACTCAATGTTTAGTGGACTGGTATGACCAACTAGTACACTACTTACTTGTATTAATTTAGGGCCTATTTCAGCTAAGCTATTCTGATATTTTTGTAAATATTCTAACATTTGTGATATCCTTTCTTCTTCTAATTTCTGCATCTGTGAACTGCCCTGTAGAATGTAAATTAAAATGTTCAAAAGTAAAAGAACATTTTTTTTTTTCAGATCAGTTGTAGTTGCCATATAGAAAGATACTACATTTGCAACACAGAATGGTGTGCTGCACTGAGAGAAAAGGATCATACTCATCAATTATATATAATTTATAGATTCATGATTTTTTATGGGTAACAGTCCATATTCATCTCATGGAAAGCAATCCCATGTGTACAAATTAACATGCAGGTATATAGAGCTTACATTATAAACCTCTGCCTCCCACTCCTGTCTGGCCACCTCTGCTTTCTGGAAAGAGTCGTGATACTCGGTGTCTGCCTTAGCTAGTGATGTGGCAGCACTCCTGCATTTCTTTTCAAGCTAAAACAGTAAGAAACAGCAGAGAGTTTTAAGTATGAGTTTGCTGATCAGTTCAGGAGTTGAAATGACATGTAATATTGTGTTAAGGTTAAAATGTTTTTTGGTCAAAATGATTAACATGGTAAAAAAAATTAAAGAATTATCATTACGCACACACACACACACACACGCACGCACGCACGTGAACACACACACCTTTTAGTATTGTTTTAAACAACTTTTTTACTTACACTACTGTATAGCTTCACATATTCTTACACAAGTATAATTTTATAACCAAACCATTACTGTAGTCTTATATATGTAATACTGACCTTTGTTATATCTTTGTCTGACATTTGCTTGCTTTTCCCAGCCTTGGCATCCTGTAACTGTTCACTGAGTTTCTCTGTCTCTTTACAGCAGGAGAAGGCATGCTTTCGCATCTATCAATAAATATAATATAAACCCAAAATTTAATGTATCTGAAAGAGTAGTGTACATAAAAAAATGTTGCAGAATTTATTGTTGAAAATAAATGGTTGTTAACAAATGTAAAATATCAAACTTGCATTACAGCAAGTTATATCTATTGATGGCTATATTATCACTATTATCACTACTGATACAGCATATATAATACATACAACAATGATGATAATGGATCTACTTCTACCTTTTGCTCCTCTTCTCTCCTGTTCAGCAGTCCTTTAGCTGCCTTATCTACCATGTTTTCAATCTGCAATTGAGAAAAGTATGGATTTATCCACTTTGCATAATATACATATGTAAAAGTGTGTGTGTGTGTGTGTGTGTGTGTGTGTGTGTGTGTGTGTGTGTGAGAGAGAGAGAGAGAGAGAGAGAGAGAGAGAGAGAGAGAGATGTCAAGCTACCCCATACTTACAGGTTTTCTAATTTTATACTGTGTTTCTGACAGAACTTTCAAAGGCTTGTAGATATCTTCCTGAAAAGATGTGGCTAAACCCCTACAAAAATGGATAAATATATTTCTGAAAATCATTTAGTTTTTTGCCATCATAAAACTACATTTTAAAAACAAGATCAAAATCCCTCATATCCTGGCTTAATATTCTCTGCTATCAAAATCCAAAATGTTTTTAGATTCCCCTGAGCTTCAGATCTGATGCAAGTTAGCTCCATTTAATTTTTTTTTTTTGCTTTTTATCAAAACTAAAAGCTAGAATAGGAAGTCTCCCATTTACGCCACACTTAATCACATAATCATCAAAACTAGTGAATTATTCTTTTGTAAAATACATGAGCATGATTATAAAATACAAATTTATTGGTTGCATGGGATACATTGGTTTATAATCCACTGTATCTGGGAAATATGAAAAAAAAAATGCTGTATCTAGCACATACTGGATCTGATACTGAATGTATGAAAATATAAATGTATGTCTACAGTCTTTATAATAAACTATTTTTTGTTATCGTCAGCAAATAACCGAAAAGATAAGTCTGCAATCTTTATCATAAATGTAAGTTGCATTCACTACCAATTGATCCAAGGACTATTTAGTCCATGTCTCAAATATGGGGTGCACCTGACAATGGATTCCCACCTCTCATGGTCGTTGTCCCAGCAGGGGCAGAGCAATTAAAATCTTAGTATGCTTTCAAGTGGATCATTCCATATTTGATCCGCAGACTAGTTAGTCCATGGATCAACTGGCTGTAAAAGCGGCCACACACACACACACACACACACACACACACACACACACAACCTACCTGTGTAACTCCGCCTCGCTCTCCATCTCGGAGGCTGCTGTTCCCCAGGCTGAGACCATAGTGCTGGAAATAATTATATCGAATATAAAGAGAGGATCGAGATACAGATATCAATCAATGTGCGCTAATGTGCTTCTCAATTTGTGGTAACCACTAATATATGAAAATTACAGCGATTGAAATAGCTAATATTGTCATCACGTGGCGTAACTTCACTGATCTTTAAAGAAACTAATGTTGTTTGCCTTCTCTGTTTTATTCCGTCATTTTTGATTACTGTAACAATTATTCATTATTATTAATATTTTGAAGGTATTCACTATTCATACACAATTATTTGGCAATATTATGGCAATGTGACACCTGGCAAAAAGTGACAGTAATTCAATTAGTTGGGTAAGCTGTAAGTATTTTCATGGATGTCTTTAACAAATTCAAATAAAGAAAAAAAATGAGTCTGAAATGACCCCCAGATATTCCCTGTGAGGGGTGTCTCCAGAGGTCATTTAGTCCATACAAATTACAGGGGGCTAATATCTGGGTACCTATGGTCAGCCCATTTCTTATCTTGTCAAGCTGTGGCCAATAAAGTACACACCCCACTCCTCACTGTTATTTAACAAACCCAATAATTTGTGGGCTAAGTTTTGCATAATATTTTTGTTTAGGTCAGTGAGTTGAAAAATAAGGTCACAAAGATGGTGGAGAGAGAGAGAGAGAGAGTGTGACGGTGAGAGTACATTCTTTTCTTGTGATTATTACTTTTTTTTATATGTAGAAAACTTCAGTTGAATAAAATTTGAAGAGAGAGAAACCACATTCTTTGCTTGAGATCATTACAGTTTTACTTTTACTTTTCTTATTTGTGGCCTAAGAAACTCTTGAAAACCAAAAATAGTGTGAAAACCTTTTACTCTACAGTAAGCAGATCTCATATCTCTGCCTGTCAGCCATGATTTTCTTTTTCAATTGAAACTTGTCAACAGCTTTGAAAAGAAACACAAATACAAGTAAGCCCTGAATTAGCATGATAGTCTGATAACACAATCGATCGATAAAATGTCTATTTCTATACTTTGTTCTATTTTTGGCACATTACTCAATAAATAATTTAAAACCATTATTCTGCTGATGTAACTTTGTGTACAAGAGCATGTATACATTCTTGAAACACTTGGTAGCAAATGTGAAAGTGCAAAATTATTTCCTGGTGTGTCATTTTTATACAAACCCTCCTTTTGAGAAAAGAAACTAAATAACACTTAATGCATATGCAAACATGACAGTTAAAGGTATAATAACTCTTCGTTTTGGCCAAAAAATGAATTTTCCTGGAGTAAACAACAATTTTCCCATACTTACCAATGGTTAATGAATCCATTTTTACATTCAAAGTTAGTCCCTGGTTTTTTTCTAAAAAGTTTGTTTTTTTTGTTAAAATCTCTTAAGATATTATAACAGAGTACAGCCATCAATGGAGGTCACGTGATCTGAAGACAAATTCAGATATCAGAATAATAGCTATAATTGCCGTTTTTGTGGTAAAACAGAATTTATTATATTTCTATGAGTTGTTCACAATGTTTTTATTGTGAAATATAGATATCGTACGAAGAGTTATTATCCCTTTAACTGAATACTGAACGTACACACAACAGCAGATGAGTTTTTAGAAAATAAGCAAATAATCTCTGTCCTATTTAGAGGACAATGGTGTTGGCAGACCTGACTGAGGTCATCAAAATGCAGAGTCATTATAAGACAATTGGGTTGTTTCACCTCATCAAAAAAATTTTAACTAGACATGAGCCTAGGTTTTTTTAAAATAATTAATTAAATCTCAGACAAGACGAATCTCAGGAACCATCAGAATTCAATTAAAAATGTGGAATTCTAAAAAAAGCTCATGTCTGTTTAACTATATCAATGAAAAAAATTAGCTAAAAATTGCAAAACATTTTATATTTTCTCTTGACAATTAGTTTGTATTAGTTTAGTTTATATTATATTAAATATGTTCATCATCTGGCAAAAATTTCTTCTGATAAAGTGAGTCCCTTTGGTAACTGTTAAGTACTACTCACAGTATGAATAATGACGTCATGGCAACATGACACCTGTATTGAGTACTTTTTAACAGGGGGAATTAGGCCCTGAACCAGCAATTACAAAGATGGGAGGGGAGGGGTCTTTTTCTGAATAAGTGGACCTTTTTATCCCCTTAGTTGATTGAACTTGGGAAATAACCCCTCCCCCCCCCCCTTCTGAAAAACTTAATAGTAAGAGAGAAGAGAAATGTCTTTAAACGAGGGACATAGCTTACAACTTCTGTGGCCAGAACATCAGTAAAAATATCTTGTCGAATTTTATTTTACGCAAATATTCTATACTATTCCGTGTCAGCCTAACTTAGGCACTACAAACTATTAATTATTCTAACAACACTAATTTCGCCATTGAATAGGATGGATATGCTTATTTCAAATAAATTGCATCTGACCTCCAAGATGTTAAGATCAATGAGGCTGTCGACCTTCAGCATTTAATTTATATGCAGATCAATATTATGATCTATGAATAAATCATGCCGTTATTAGGCTGGTATAAGAGATAAATGTAGTACCAATTTATATGGCAAAATAATATGGGACCTCTCTAGCCCTGTCTCTCTTGCTCTCTCCCATTTTCTTGTCCTACCTTGCCTACCCCAGTTCTCTCTCTCTCTCTCTCTCTCTCTCTCTCTCTCTCTCTCTCTCTCTCTCAATCAGACAGGCATGTCATCGATTCCTGTATCAAGGTATGCTATATTTATGCACAGGCATAGGTGTACCATTCCACCTCCACCAACATCCTCAATTATTTCAAACAAGGGCTTATGCAGCAGTTAACAGCACTCACTAGAGTCCTTGCATAGGACTTATTAACGCTTGATTTACTATAGAGGGGTGACAGTGATACTTGTGTACAGCTTAATTAACAGTTGAGTCTGGTACATCACTAGTATGGCTATATAGCCTACTGTGGTTATCCATTAATTTAAGAGACAGGGACTCCAGTAAATGAGAGTTTTTCAATATCTCATTAGATTTTCTGCTTAGGTAAACACTGCTTTAACAAATAAGTCAAAGTCACTTTGTGAAAAACAATGAACTGTTATCAATTTATTCTTTCACTTTGCTTTAGATTTTAATTATTTAGGGGGCATAAGATGGGTCTTTACATTAGAAATGTCTTAGAAAGTTTGCTGGTAATAGCTTTGGAAATGTAGGTGACAGATGACAGGTGACAGATGACAAGTGACTTGTCTGGCAGACACTTACCCTATACAACAGGCACATGCCTTGGTAAGTTTGTTACTCAGTTTGCTAAGAGACTTGGCATAGCTACTCTCTAGCTCAGCTCTGAAAGAGAGAAAAGATTTATAAAACACTTTAGATTGGTCATGAATTCTTGATCATGGTAAAAGATGTGTTCCTGCATGTAATTGTGTGCTCAAGTATTTCTCTCTCTC